TTTTACAATTATCTTGTGTTACATTTTAGAGGAGAAAAAAAATCCTAAATTCAGAAGACTAATTCCTGTTAAGTCTCTCCCCCCCCCCCCCATTTTATGGGACATATTTGCTTGGCTATCATGACAATGCTTGTGAGACATAAACCCTTTGCTTTCATCTAGCTAATCAGTATTTCAAGGTTTATACAATTCTGTTCTAAAAATGACTCGGGGCATTCTTCTGTTTTTTTTTGTGAAGACTGATAGGATTCCCAAGAAAATGGGTAACATTTTCTTTGCCTTGGAAAAGATATAATGAAGAAAATATCTTCTTGGATTTTTATAGCTCTGTTGTTGTTGTTATTAAAGCCCTCTTGAAAAGATGGGTGGTAATTCTTCTTTAGTATTCTTGTCAAGAGCAAGATTATTCAACTAGGTAACTGGTCAGTTCGGGTTTATGAAGCTGTTTTGCTTCCTTTCTTCTGTAATGTGACTTTTAAAAGTAAAATTCAATACTCAATGTTTGAAGGGGAAAAAGGGGATTTTGAATTACTATCAATTCCCACTACATTTCCCTTTATTTCCACAGGGGCATTCAAAACTATCAGGTCTGCACATGTCACATCCTCCAATGCCAGTGCACGCATAGCTGGTTCTTCTGTACTGCTTGCTGAGTCTCTAGAAAAGAGGAGAAATGCTGAGGAGCTCGAAAGTCGTCTTCTAGACCCTGATTCAGGATTTGAACTACTGCAGAATAAAATGGCTGTCGCACCCAACTTGACTCCAGTCATTAATAAGGTAAAGCTAATGCTCTAAAGCAGATCTATTTGTACAAATGACAAAACTGAGACCGAATTATAGATTCTGTTTAAACCCATTTACCTGCATTTATAAGTATACATATATGTTAAATATAAATATACAAACACACATGCACACACACACAAACATACACACACACACACATATGCACAAACACATATAGGGATGCAGTAGTTCAGTGGCTTAGATGCTGAGGTTGTCAGTCAGAAGGTTGGCAGTTCAGTGGTTTGAATCTCTAGTGCCGCATGACGGAGTGAGCTCCTGTTACTTGTCCCAGCTTCTGCCAACCTAGCAGTTTGAAAGCAAGTAAAAAATGCAAGTAGAAAAATAGAAACCACCTTTGATGGGAAGGTAACAGTGCTTCCTGTGCCTCCAGGATTGAGTCATGCTGGCCACATGACCATGGAGACGTGTTCAGACAGCGCTGGCTCTTCGGCTTTGAAATGGAGATGAGCGCTGTCCCTAGAGCCGGAAATGCCTAGTACGCATGTGTGTGGGAACCTTTACCTTTACCTTATACATGTTATACAATTGGTTGGAATTGGTTAGAAGCAATGCTAGTGTAGAAGAAGAAAGATTCATGAATTAGTTATTATTTTTTTCTTAGACCCAGTGAATATGTTTGTACAGTTAAACCAAGGCTTGTATTTTAAAAATAAAGGGGCTTTTGTTCTCCAAGGACACTTATTTGTCCAGAAGTATGCAATCTGTAATTACTTTATACTTCAAGGGAAAAAAGTAGATTTAGATTTAGATTTTTTTTTTTTAGATTTAGATAAATTTATTTATAGGCCGCCCTTTTACATTACATATAAAGAGCCAAGGTGGCGCAGTGGTTAAAAGCAGCACTGCAGGCTACTGCTAGATCAGCAGGTCAGCGGTTCAAATCTCACCGGCTCAGGGTTGA